ACCTTTAAAATTATACGGGACCAATTTTCGAACTCAGGTATTATATGTGAGGTCCTTTTTATTTGGAAAAAATAGATCTAAGGTCTTTAATTAACATTCTTTTTTTCTTTGAAAGCAGTCTTTGATTAACATTCTTGATGACCTTTTTGCAATCACTAGATCTGATTAAGATTTAGGACCTTGAATCTCAGGTGCTTATGCTTTCTTTTTTTAGTTTCTCCACTAAGACCCTGATATCCATAGTAATGCTTCCCTTTTGAAAGGTGAAGCTCCCGATGAGGTACAAGTTTTTATGTAACTTGTTGTTTGAACAAAAGTGACATTTAATTCCAAGTCAATTGTACGTCTTATTTAAGTTAGATACTTCTATCTTAATGTTGCTGACGTGTGAAAATATAAATTTATAATTGTGAAATTGAGAATACCAGGAGAATTAATCCAGTTATGCATAAAATCTAAACTATGACTAACTTTTATTTATCAAGTGACTAAGATTTAGGATTTGAATAAAACTAAAATATGTCTGAACGAAATGCAATGGAATAGTTCTATAAGAAACTTCTTTGCTTCTCTTGGGTAACAGGTCTATAACTTCTTCTGGGGCATACTGTATGCACTATGCTTTTTGTCTTGATTCTTTTCATTTGCTTTTTATCATTTTCCATTGGCTGGAGAAATATTTTCTCCTCTAATCCCCTTTTGTATCAGTTCTTTTCTCACTAATATAACTCTTTTTTTTTTTTACAAAAAAATCATAGAAAATGCAAATATCATATGGTTTAAATGCCTTGAAATTTTTTGATGATATGGTGGTTGAAATTTTAATCCTTTATAATCATGAACCAAGATACTCCATTGTCTATTAGAAAGCAAACTGTCATATTAAGTTTCTGCTACTTGTTCTTAATGCTCAATCTCTCTGAATATCGGAATATTTTGGATGATATATCTATATATATATATATATGTCATGTTGTGGTGAATTGTTTTTCTGTAGATAGCTTTTCTGATTGGGCATTGACTCTATTTTTCTGCAGAAAATGGAGAATCAAGGTGCTGGCGAGCAATCGTCGTGAATTAAAATGAGTTAATTTATTGCTGATCTTACTTGTTATTCCAAAAAAATGTTTGGATCTTTGGTTTTTGAGTTGGAATTTGAATATTCCTCTTAGATGTAATCTGATAGAATGATGAGTAAACTCCAGGGGAATAGGCTGAAATAACCAGTATATATGATAAATGATACATTCCTGAACTACAAGGTCTATGCTTCTTGATTGTGAACTTTTCTTTTTCTTTTTTGAGAAACTCTTTTGATTCTAATTTTATCAAATTTGGATGGTTGAATTGTTATTTTGTTTAAAATTATTGCTGTGATTAGGATTGATGCAAGATTATAAGTAAAAATTACTATAAATTTTTATTTATTTTATATGTACTATATTCTTAATTTATATATAATATATATATATATATATATTAGGTGTATGAATCATTATTAAGAAATTGGAATGTAGAAGTTATTGATTAGTTATTTTCTTCTTTTATATAAAAATAACAATTCAATGTTTTTATGTTTGATTGAAAATTTTATTGTTCTTAGAGGAATATTTTGTTTGATTTTAAGTAAATTTTCGTTAATAAATATAATTTAAGGAATGGAGTTTTATATAATATTAAACAACTTTAATTATTAGTTGTAAATTGCAGTTTCAAAGTCAATATAATAAACAAAAAAATATTATAATAATTTATAGTTAATTGCAATTTTCATAAAATCTTCCTATGTTTTTCTATCATTTTAAATTTTTTGAACTAAAAAACGTGAAAAATTAAATTGTAGAATTCAAAGTACAGTTCATTAACAAAAAATTAGTATCATGTCTATTTAAAAATAAATTTTTTTTAAAAGCTTGCACTAAAAATAAATAGTTTATTTTTTAATTAGATTCAAATAAATTGTGAAAATTAAATTAAATATTGTTATTTAATATGGATTTTTAACATTTATTCACAATTTATGTTATTCCAAATGTTCTCTTATTGAATTCGCTCCTATCATAAAATTTTCATAATGATAATAATTAACATTATATTTATAAAGGTCTGAAACTTTAAAGAAAAATGAATTCATAAAATTAAATGCGGAAATATTAATAGAATTAGTGTTTACATTCCTTACATAATAATTTAAAATGACTAATAGAGTTACAAGAATATCTATTTTGAAAGACAAACGGTAATTAAAGAAATGAAAAGAATGGCGAATACAAAAGTACCATAAGACAACTTTTACTAGTACTTGAAGAGAGTTCAGATGGTGAACTACTCACAACCCTCTTGTTGATCGAGATCTAAGTTATGGTTCTCTTGATTTGAAATAGTTAATGAAAGGGTAAACTATATTAACTCAGTAAAAATATTACATTAATCATAGATACGAAAAAATAAAGATTGGTAAAAATCAAAAATGCAACTAATGGAGCTTTTGCTTTATTTAAATAGCTTTAAACTTGAAAATGTTTGTTTGATACTAACCCTAACGAATTTTTTAAAAACAACCTATAAAATCTCATATTTATATCACTTTTCACTTTCACGCATAAGAGAATAAGAGACAATAGATTTCTTTTCTTACCTGCTTACTAGTACCCCTAGGGGTCTATAGAAATGTCTCCCCTACTCATGAACTTAATATCTAATTTTACAATTGACTAACCATCCGCATACCCCGTCTAGTAATGGACGCTAAACATTTCATCGCCTCGATACCCCATCCAGTATGAGGGTAAACTATATCTCCCAAACTTTTTCGGTAAGGGACTTTCCAGCTCCGCCCAACTGAGATAACGTTCATAGTAGAATTTCTTATGTACTGGGCCCGTCCACCCTTTTCCTAGGTAACTAGCAAGTCTTTCACATACAGATATTTATCAACAAATAACCAACAAACACATACCAATATCTCATATTACATTCACATATCAATTAAACTACATTCATGCTGACAGTATATAACCAAAATAACTGGATAAGTTGATAAAACTATTGAACTATAAATTAAAAATATGTATTATACGAAAATCAAGCAAGTAGGACAATACATAAAAATAAACAAGAAATCAAGACAATTGTGAACTAAGCAGTTTTGGTTCCACTAGTAACATGTAATTATTTTTAGAATTTTTTAAATTTTTATAAAAATATAAAATTATACATTGTTAAACCCCAATTTACCGTAACAAAGAATATGATGAAGGATCCTTACCTATATCAGTGTTTCGAGATATTGTACTATCTATCACATCCCCTAACGGATGCCGGGTTCCCTGTATTTTTTCTGCGAAATTTAAAACACTCACCACGCACATAAAAATACTCCAAAACTCTTTGCAACCAAATTTGGGATTCCGGCACGACAGCGCCGACTCCACTGCTCACGGTAGCAGTCTATCTTGACCATGACTATTTTGGCTGGCTTTACACGTATCTTTGTGAAAAAATATGTCAGAGGACTCAGTTGGCCGAAAAATCACCAAAAATACCGAACCTACCAGTGATGGGTCACCAGATGCAGCGACTCTACCGGTTCTCCTTCGCAGCTAGGGTTCCTTCTTTGGCTAACCTGCATAAAAAAGGACGGTGAACACAATGATTGAAAAATTACGTGAAACGAAAATCGGGAATGGGCTCATCGGAGGGATTTTGGAGTTTTGGTCGCGGCGGCTCCGCCAGACTTTGTACGCAGTTTCTGGCTCACCCACTGTCCCTCTTTCTCTAATTTGACTACAGGGGTGCTCGGAATCGAATTTCGAGCAGGTAAGGAGAATTTTTACCTTTTTGGTGGCAGGTGGTGGCTCCAATGCGGCAGTGATCGGCGGTTAGCCTTATTCTCCGGCGCCTGATTCTTCTTCTCTGGCAAGGGTTGGCAGCTAAGGTTTGGGTTCTCATACGACGCGAAGTATTTATGCCCATCCCGCGTTGATATGAGTCATCCATCGCGATTGATCTCGTTCGTCCGATCACGTTTAAGAAGAAAACGACCTGAACTGTCCATCGCGATTGATCTCGACCGTTCGATTGTGCCTAAGAGAAAAATAAATTCGGACAGTCCACGCGCGTGGGATCGATCCTGGGTCGTCCGATTGCAGGATACGCGGATCACCTGCGTAGCCTCCCGCGTGGTACCGACACTTGTGTACCTTGTCACGCGGCGTGCTCCGGTTCGTCGGGACTGCTGATTGGGCAGTTTTACGTAACCAAACTTTCTCTATTTGCACTTTAACCATTTGTTTTTAATTTTTTTTTCAAAAACACTATCCGAGTTCAAATTTTTATCCATTTCTTTTAAAATTATTTTCAATTATATTCTTAACTTATTTTTTCAATTAATTAATAAAATTAAGTTTAAATTTATTTAAAAATAATTATTTATTTATTTTTTTGATACTAAATTTGATCATAGGATAAATTAAGGACCTGAGTATCACAATATTAAAGTATAATTAGTACTTATATATACATAAATGTATTGTTGAACATGAAAATTATTAAAACTCTATCACTAAATTTAGTAACTTAAGGGTATTTTAGTAATTAAAATTATTAAGTAGACATAAGACAAAAAAAATTAAATTGTTTCAATTGAAAATATAAAAACCAAATTGATGCAAGTTATAAAATACATAGAATTTTAAGATAATTACACTTAATCTCATATCTCATGGAAATGAGAATACAAGAATTAACGGTCTTGGTTCTAGGTAGAAAAATGGATAATTCTTTTACATAATATGATATTGTTTCTTTAATTTTTAAAAATATACGATAATTTTTGTTTAATACATGCACAGTTATTATTAGACTAATTAAGTAAATATAACTTTTATAAAATATTTTTTTTCAAAAATATAATATATTCGTACAAATTTAATATAATTTAACTACTACAACACTACTAACAAAATCCTCAATAAATTTCATTAATACTCCAAAGACAATTGAGCATTGTCTTTTACATTCTTTACTAAAGATTCATCATCTGACATGTATCATGTATCATGCGTGTGTTTATATATATTCATGAAACAATTTGATAGAAAAAAAGTAGAGAAAAAAATGGGAAGCATCAACAAGAATAAGAAGGATTCTGCTATACACATTACACTTTCACACTATACCAGGCCAGGAAGCTCCTCCCAGCCTCTAGATCAGATTGCAACTGAAGAATTTGTTTTTAGGATTCCTAGAGAATCCAAGAATCATTAATGAATCGAATTGCCTTATCTGGGTTCGTCTTGTTTCTCAGCAAACTATTTTCATTTTTCAGAGACATCGTTATCTTCTCTCCCTCTCCAAATTTGTCGATTTGCAAAGAGTAAAAACTTCACCAAGATACAAATACCTTTTTTTTATATATTTTCTCACTGCCCAGCTAAAATTGAAAGTGGAAACTCAAGACTTCCATCTCAGTTATGCGGCAGACCTGCAAGACAGATATAGAACAGAATATAAAACCAGAGAGACCATACTAGGAACAGGCACAAGCAAAAGTAACAAAGCACATATCACCCTTCATAATCCAAGAAAAAGTGATAAAATGTGGTTTCCTGAACACCATTATCAATTATCGGGTAACGATATGGTTTGGTTCTGGAATGGAAAGGAAGCTTAAGTTTGTCAACAGAGAGAAATTAAGGAAATGCTTCATTTCTGAAGTGGACAATCAAACAGCGCTTAATGTTTGTTAGATTTTGTTTCAGACGGAGATTGAGAGTCTATGCTACAATCCTTAAATGACAACAGAAGAAGACTAAGAAAATTGAGCACTGTCTATACACCAGGTTGCCAGGCTAGTAATTCAATAGGACACAGAAGAGAAGCGTGAAGTTACCACCTTGAGACTCAAACTAGGAATATAGAAGAGACAGAACAAAACATAAGATATTTCATGGAGAAATAAAGATCAAAGTTTGAAAATGTTATTAGAATACCTTATGATACAGTATCTACTGATGGACCATAATATCTGAGACTCCCCTTGAGTCACTGCAAATTTCTGCCAAAGGATTCATAATGAACCCACCACCACCCTGAAGGGGCAACCTCGGGTTATCTGACCTGAATGTTTCAGCATTACCATTCCTATCAGGTCTATATTGCATAGCGGCTGCAGGGGTGCCAGTGGCAGTAGAAAACCTTGAAGTTGAATACCTGCCATCTGTTTTACCCCAGAACTTTGATCTCAAAAAATATGCTCCAGGCATTAAGCAACAGCTGGTTCTGCACGAGCTCATCCTTCCACTTGATACAGCTAAGTCATATGAGATCTCGTCAAGTGCCATTTCAAGACCATGCACACGTGTCTCCAAAGAACGCATTCCACTTTGTGAACTCCCAATGAATTTCTAATGTAAAAGAAAAGGGTTAGAAGTACTAAAGTACTTCTGTTTAAAGGTGGTTAAAAATAGAGACTGGATAACTGCAGATTGTACATATAGTAAATCTAAAAATGTGGCAGTTATCATTGTTCCAGTCATCATGTCATATCTATAGCAGACTGATAAACTAGTGAATATCAGCACCCAATAATTTTTTCTGTTGAAAGATCAGGAAACTGGAAAATCTCTTTCAACGAGAATGATAAGAGAAGAAAAGAAATTGGGAAGAAATTTATAAAGATATCATGTAGCATGAGATCACAATTTATAACTTGACACATCAAGCTCGAGAGAAATCTTTCCACCATGAAAGCAAGTTAATGAAGTGACAGGATGAAATACAAAGCTATTCATGGTTCAGAGTATATTTCATCCATTATCTGCTAATATCATTAACTTCAGATGATGCTTCAATGGCCTCAATTGTGCCCTAACTGTAGCAATTTAGCATGGCCACAACTAAATTTAAAATAAGCCATACAGACATATGATCAAAAGAATCCAATTAGACGATCACAAGTCACTTAAAGGCAAGCACAACTTTTCACGTATGTGGAAACAAACCTGCAGAAGATCTAATAGACTGGATTGTTGTTTCTCGATCTGAACAAGCTGATTACGAATCAAGGATAAATCATCAGAGTCCTTGTGGTTACTATGGTGATTCTCTGTCATGTTATTCTCTAGGACAGTAGGCTGAGGGCTCTCCTCATGGTATGGAGTCACACGAGATCCAAACCTTGATCCTCCACCAAATATCTGCATCTTCTCATCACAATTCTTACTAAGGACATGTCTTGTTTCTTGCTTTGAGAATTTAGGATTCTGATTATTTGTCCTTTCACCAACATTCTCATTTTTCTCCTTAAGATTTCCATGAACTCCAACCAATGATGCAACATTTGGAACAGCAATTTCAACTTTCCTGTCCAGAGGCTTCTTGCTGTCCACCTTCTGAAATGTTGCCCTAGTTTTGTTTTCACCACTCTTTGAAATACTTCTTTTCCTAGCTGCCGTCGCAGATGAACTGTCAGGAGGCATTGACCTTCCAGTTAAAGCAGTTCTCTTCCTCACTTGTGGAGCTTCTAAACCACCAGCGAAAGACATTTTAGATCCAGGTGGATATCGTCCATCACTGACATCATCTGTCCCCATAAAAAACCGTTTCAGGAAGTATAAAATGAGAAAGAACACCTAATGCCAATTCCAACTAAACAAAAGTGTCCCAATGAACACATTTAACCCTTTTTGAGTAGTAAACCAAAGACTTTGAAATTATCATAACTGGGCAATTCATCACTAAAATAAATCCTTTGCATCACTAGAATAACTACATAAAGATCTCCAAATGATCATAAGTTGATAACCGGGTTTCAAATGCGTTAGATCCATGGCATTTTAAATGACAAAATTAACCGAATTTAGCACGCAATTCCCGGTTCAGATCTCTAGTTCTACCAAATGATCAAACCAAACCTAGCCCATAGTCTTGGATACTCAATAAACTAAGACCCAATAATTTTGGATATCCACAAAATCTCACATGATATTGACCATCATAATTTACAACAAGAACCAACCCGTATCTGTTCTGTCAGCGATCTCATATTTATATTTATTGATCATCAAATTAAAACAAGAACAATTCCGTACCTATTTCTGTCTGCGATCTAGGCAGTGGCGGTACGTCCTCGGACACATCTGGGACCTGCTTCCNGGTCGGGCGCGGCGTCGATCGCTGCCGCAGGCAAAGAGCCACCCCGATCTGGGAATTAGGCTTCTGCTCCGTGAAAAGGGTGTCGGATAATGGCTTGAGGAAAGCCGAAGAGAAAGGTAGTTTGGTGTTGCGAGAAGACAAGGCGGAGACGGCAGCAATGCAGGAGGAACGGATAGATGAGTCCGGGTCTCGAAGACGGCGTGAGAGGTGAGAGAGGATCTTGGGGAGAAATGGGGAGAGGGAATTGGGAGGAAGGGAAAGTGAGAGAAGGGAGAGTAGTTGAACACAGTGTTTGCGGACTGCGGGCTTGTCGGCGGAATCGGTGGAGAGAATGCTGGAGAGAAAAGGTTGAAGATTAGTGGAGTCAATGGTGCGGGCTATGGAGTCCAACTCATTGGCTGCCATGGAATATGTATCTCTGTCAGCAAGCTTTGCTTGTAATCCAAAGATCTTTTGCTTCATGTCTACAGCCATTGCTGCTTGTTTTATGATGTGACTGGTCTTGTGCGGTGGGTCGTGGGAGGAGGAGGAGTTAAGGGAGTGACAGTAATGGTGGTGGTGGGGTTAAACGTGGCGGCGTTGATGGATGGTAGTTAGTTATGGTGAGGTTCTGCGGATTGAGTCTCTGGCTTTTATTTCAGCAGAGGAAATGGAAGGAAGGTGGAGGCTCGAAGGAAGAGAAGAAGAAACGGTGCCGTTTGTAACTCAGAAAAATAAATTATTAAAATTAACTAAACTAGGACTAGAAATTAATCAAGGAGGGGGTCCCGGGGGGGTTCAGGTACGTGCAGGAGTACGAAAGGGGTGATGAATCATAAAGGAGATGTAAGAAGATGATGAAATGTGACACGTGTCAAGTAATTATGGATTATGGCAGTTAATTACGGGTAAATTAGCGCCAAAAAGTGAGTGGAGGATTCGCGTGACGGAGACGCGCGGAATTGTTAAAACGACATTTACTGCGACTTAAAATTATAAGTTCACATAATCAACCTTTCGTTCTTTCTTTCCTTTTTCTTTTCTCCCAAAGAGACTCTTTGTTCGGTGACCAAAGAAAAACTAGTTGTAACTACTATGACATTGCCTAGTTTTATTTAATTTTTTTCTTTATATTTTAGTTTGTTTATCTATTTCTTTAAAAGAAAATCATGTGTAATTACCCTTTGATACTTATATGAAATTCATATCTTCAAAATTCAATTTTCTTCAATTCTATTTCCATTATCACTTTAAATTTCTAACTTCTATCTACCATTTTATATTTTCAAATTTTATTTCTCATTCACCTTAAAAAATTTTACTTTTCTTAATTAAAAAAATTGAAGTTCTTAATTATTAAAAAGTTACTTTTATAAAAAAGTTGGGCAGTTTTCGACTCATCCGTCGACCTTTTTACTCTAATTTGGCCATGAGAGTGTTCAAAATCAAATTTTAAGAAATGCGAAAATTTTTACCTTTTTTGGCGGTCGGAGGTGGCTCCAGCGCGGCGACGGGCAGCGGTCGGCTCCCTTCTCCAGTGACTAGTTCTTCTTCTTCGGCGGGAGGCTGGCGACTAGGGTTAGGGTTCGGTGTGAAGTGAGGTATTTAGATTCGTCTTTCTTTAATATGAATCATTCATCGCATTTGATCTCGACCGTTCGATTACGTTTAAAGAAAAAATGAATATGAACCGTTCATTGTGATTTGATCTGGACCGTACGATCGCGTTTAAAGAGAGAATGAATCTAAACCGTTTATCGTGTTTAATTGCGACCGTCTGATCGTGCCTGAGGAGGGAACGAATCCAGACCATTTACGCGTGCGGGAACAAATCCGGACCGTCCGATCGCGGGTATGCGGATTGTTAGCATGCCCTCCCGCGTGGCACCGAGTCAG